CTTGAGCCCAGGAGTCTGAGGTTGCTGTGAGCTAGGCTGACGCCACGGCACTCTAGCCCAGGCAACACAGTGAGACTCTGTCTCAAAAAAAAAAACCAAAAACTTGTGGAAACTATGAGGTTCAAAAATTGTATTGTAGGAGCAGGATGTGGTAGTGCACACCTGTAGTCCCAGCTACTTGGGAGGCTCAGGAGGGAGGACTGCTTGAGCCCAGGAATTTGAGGTTGCAGAGAGCTATGATCACACCTGTAAATGGCCACTGCACTCCAGCCTGGGCAATGTGCCAAGACTCTCATCTCTAAAAACATAAAAAAACATTATACCATAAAACACACACTCCACACACAGAAGCAATAGAGAAAATATAAAACGTTCAAAGCAATGTCATTTGGCCTTCCCTTTCCCTCTTTTGAGAGGGGAATAGTGTACGTGCAATCCAACATAGCACAAACATGCACTTGTTAAAACATTTCTCTTCTAAGAGCTCAAGTTGAGCTCCTATTCTTCTAACCAGGCTTAGCCCAGGGTTGAGTAAATTTCCACATGATTTCATTTTATGCTGCAACAATCCTAGGTACAAGGTAAGAACAGAGCTCATCTCTCCATCCATTGATATCGTGATGAGGAACTAGGTCAAGAAACTTATCCAAGGTCACCCACTAAGCCAAAGATGGAAGCATGTAAAATGCAGTTCACAGGAGCAATCCTTGCCCAAAAGAAACCAAAGTATTCCTCCCTATCCAAATCTATTTTGCTTCTGCAATTTGGGTAGAGCATAATAAGAAAGTGGACATTACAAAGGATACCTACAAAATTTTGCATCTCTATAGTGCCCAAATTTCAATTAACCATGGAAACTTGTTACTACTTTCTGCCTTGTCCTATTCTACTAACCTGTGATTACTCTATTCCCCAGAATTCACGGGTCTCAGGAACACCTTGTCAGATACCACTATAATCAATGTCACCTCTACTCCAATGCCCTTCCCAGAGGCAACCACTGTTACCAGTTTCTTTGTTCCATAACAGACAGTGTATACACAGTCAAGCATATTGTAATCTGCTTTAAACAATCATTTTAATTTCAGTTCAAAGCATTTTTAAAGTATTTATTAAGAAAAATTTCAAACACACAGAAGTAGAAAAATATTTCCTTTGAAGCAAAAGGTTAATTATGACTGCAAAGAGACACATGGTTCTGTGATTTAGATTTAAAAAAAAATTGTGAATCAGGAGACCTAGGGCCCTCTCCAACTCTGATGTTATGACCTCATTTTCCTTACCTTTAAATGAAGGAAGGGTACCAGCTGATCCTAAGGACGCTTTTGGGTTTTGTTTTGTTAAGATGTATTTTAACGTGGATTTTAAAACTGTCTGAATTTATAACATTACAAGAGAAGAGATTATTCATTCTTATGCACCAAATTGGGGGAGGGAGTAGAATGCATTGTGGCCACGTAGCTGCTGCCTTTGCTATTGCTATTAACTAACATTTATTAGTACTCAATATGCACCACCAGGCATTTGCTCACTGCTTTACACAGATTACCACTCAATCACCGCAAAATCCTATGATGGAGATATGCTCAACTATCTATTTTGCACACAAGAAAATAGAGGCAAGGGGAAGAGAAATAACCTACTGCAAGTAATATAGCTAGCAAGGGGTAGAGCCCCAACTTGAACTGAATCCAAGGTCCATGCTCTTTACCTGTACACTGTTATAGTTAGCCTTAAACATGGTACAGTTTTGTTTTGTTAGCATATTTACTTGGCACTGTTTAGAAAACTAGAATAGGCAAGGAGCTGTGTTTGAGGGAGGAGGTATGACTTTCAATAGTATTTTTTCCAGGGCTTCACCAATTTGAGTCTGTGATAAACTTTCTCACGAGCAGAGCCAGTTCCTCTTTGGTTAGCAGGGTACTTTCCAGGATCACTCCTAATTTGGCCATACAGCCTTTTCCTTCTGAGGCACTTGCTCTTATCACGCATGAAAAGCATGGTCCATTTTTTTCTAGTCCACTGAAATGGGGATATATATTA